TGTCACACCTAACACACTGTCATATTTATTACACTGTCACACCTAACACACTGTCATATTTATTACACTGTCACATCTAACACACTGTCACATTTATTACACTGTCACACCTAACACAATGTGACATTAAATTCTGTCTCAACCAAAACCACTACCAAACCCAGCACCATGTTATACATCAGATAGTAATCCAAGGTTAAAAGTAACTGTAAGCATATCTGCCTCTCTCCACTCCATTCTGCTTGGATGCTAAACACTCTGTTCTTCCGTGTTTCTGTTGCCAGCTGACCAAATTAAACAGCCATCGGTTTTCTGTGCTCCTCGCAGTGAGTATTCCCTGCATGTGCATGCGTGTCTGCATGGTCGTAAAGCTGGTGGTTTATGTTTCACTCCTAGTACGTCCAGTCATCATCATGGGAGACTTTTTACCAGAGAGCAGACTTAGACCCCATTCCCATAGACACCATGGGTCTGCATGAATCAACCCAACTTTGTGGGAACTCTCGCTGAGTGCAATCAGCTGAACTGAATAACACGCATCCTCCTGGCATTAAGTAGAATAAAGAAAATCTGGTGATTATACGAGTATATTAGAAAGAAAGAGAGGCGCGTCTTTCATTTAAGCTGATTGCACTTAGCAAGAGTCCCTGCAGAGTTGAGGTTGATCCATGCAGAGGGATGGTGTCTGTGGGTGTAAGTCTAAAAGTAGAATTACGTACAGACTGGAAATTTAGCCTACTTTGGTCCTAGACAAATTTGATAGTCCACTTAATGTAAGTACGTAAATATATTGATAAAAATTCATATCATGTTTCAAGCCATTTCATGTTCGCATTCCATGTGGAACTGACCTAGTCCTGTTCATCTAGATACTGATTTAGTTAAAGGTCAGAGTATCCTTTTAAGAATTCCAAATTTTCAGTCTTTTAGTTAAATTCAACTTTCTACTGAATTTTTTTAATGGAACATAAGCTCAGCACTACTTAAAACTTCTTTGTGAACAAAGTTGCTTCCTGATCAGCAATAGCGCAGGACAACACATTGACTGTGTATGTGCCTAAAACATTTCATGTATGTGATCCAAACATTGCGTTTTATACACTAGTTTTCAGTGCCCAGACTGAGCTTTGTACATCCAAGTTAGTATGCTCTGTTGTAGAGTTTTCATTTAAGAGCTAAGATTGTAGATGCCTGTGCATGTGCATTGCATTCTCTGTCGTGTGCATGCATGTCTGTGTTGACATCCTCGGGCTTATGCATGTCCGCGTTCATACCAGGTTTATTTTAGGCCTGGGGATTGTCTTCAAACATTCCAGATGATGTTCTGCTCAAAGAGAGATGTCATTATGCCATATCATTGCCTGTGACATGTTTTTTTTGTCGTTTTCTGTTGTGTGACCCTCGGTCGTAACTGCTGAATGCAGCCTTGCGGAGCCTGCATGGTTCTGTATTTCTCTTTGTAAATAAACAGAATGCGCATGAGCGTAAATAAGCTCTGGAGATTGTTGTCGCCATAAAATGTTGTTTGACTACGCCAAACATTTCTTTTTTACTTGATACAAAATAAATAAAAATTATTAGCACACTGTATCTCGTGTACCCAGCTCTGTAGTACTTATATGATATGGTTTATTTGGGTTCAAAGCTGAGTGATTATGGAAGTATTCTATTCACACATACTTGAATGAAGTCAACAGCAAAAGATGTGTTGGCATTCATAAGGTGTGTGTGAGAGTTATCTTCCAGAGTTTCTCAGCGGAAAACAAAAAAAGCTACACATGAAAGATTGTTATTTTGACTGGCAATTTGTTATAAATATCTGATTGAAATTGAAGAAAGACACCTTTTGATTTGGAACTGAAGGTGGCAGTTGAGTTCCCCTGTGGAAATTTGTCTCATTTAACACTCACTTACAGTTCTCAATCTGTCCAAGAACATACTGTTTTTCTCTTTTAATGAAAAATGTTCTGAGTCTGTTCTAGGACATTCTGAAGGACTTCCCAAAAACAGTTCTGGAGCTGTTACATTCATTACAGAACAACATTAGAACTGTAAAAAAAAATATAAATAAATAAATAAAAATGCACCAGATACTCTAAATTAGATTGGGAACCATAAGTGAACATAAAATGAGACAAATTTTCTCATGGGTTGTCCGTTGGCACCAGCATTACTCGCTGATAATTATTTAGATGTGTATTATTTCTTGTTTCACTTCCAGCCTGTCCTGGGCAGCACCCATCCCACACACGCCCTGCCCCAGATCCTGGGGAACAAGACCCTGGGGACAGAGAAGAAGGGCCACTTACTGAAGAAGAGCGAGGGGAGAATGAGGAAAGTTTGGCAGAGGCGGAGAGTGGCCATACAGAGTGGGATCATGTCCGTCAGCCACTCAGATGTGAGTATTTTGGTCAGGTGACATTTCTTCAGCCAATCAGGTATTAACATTCTGTCATATGATGTTGTATACAGATGATAGTGTGAAATCATAAGTAGCTATTTGACAATATGGGATGACAGAAAAGTCTCAGGAATAACGTGCAACCCTATGGGAAATTGCAATGGGAATTTGGCCGTAATTTGTAGCACAGTCGAGAACAATTTATTTATTACTTACAGAGAGGATTCTCTATGCCCAAATGCTATATACGAAGAAAGTACCTAGAAATGGGATTTATTTAAACTTCATGCAGTTTCAGCTTAACTTATCTATTTGTTTGATATGTTTTTCTCTCTTCTCCCCAGGAAAGTAAAGACCCTGTGCGGCTAAACCTGCTTACGTGTCAGGCTAAATTGGTGCTCGATGATCCGACCAAGAAGTGCTTCGATCTCATCTCCAGTTCAAGTGAGTAAGGAGGCAATATTCGTGACAGAATTATTATTATAATAATTATTTTTATTATTTTAATAATTATCTTATTTATTTATTTATTTTTCTTTGAATAGCCTAGGGCATGCAGTGGTTCTTAGATGGGTTACATGTTTCTTAACTTACAAGAGAAAAAATGCAGTTGCTGACTCTGTCTTTGATAAAAAATTTTATAATTCTTGAAAAAAAATGCATGTTTTAAATGTTAATAGTAATAGATGGTTGTTTTGCTTTTAGAAGTGTAAGGGCAATTGCAAAACCTCATTTAAGGGTTAGAAAAAGGAAATAAGGAATATTTACACTTTCTGCATGTATGTCTTAGTTTACTGTAGAAGAGTAGATTTTAGCAAAATGCAAAACACCTTGGTATTTGTGTACAGAAATATGCGCTTGTTTTTATTGCAGATAACAGAACTTACCATTTCCAGGCAGAAGACACGGCAGACATGGAGGAGTAAGTGCTTTTTCCTTTTCCTCCTGTCGAAATCTTCCCAAGAGAACAAATACACCAAGCAAACTGTTGCCTGCAGAGAACTAGATCAATTATTTCATAAGAGCAAAAAAACAAGAACTACACTAGATTTCACAGTTCCCGATCAGTCAGAGCAATCCCACAATATCAGTTTTGAATTTGGCCTAGTCAGTTTTATATTTCCCCATTTTTTTAAATACAATATTAAAGAGTTTGGTTTAAAATTACATGATGAAAAAGCAACACTGATAGCTGAAAAACTTTGGAGGATGAATTAATAAAATAAAATAAAAATAAAAATGAACCCTTGGGCGACAGGGCTTTCAGAAATGCAGTAATCACTCGTCCTAAGTCAAACAAACTGGTGTTGTTGTGTATTTCAACATGTTCTTTCTTCATCTTCCTACAGGTGGATAGCTGTCCTGAACAATGCCAAGGAGGAAATTCTCATGAAGGCGTTCGGGGACTCCACAGGGTCCGGGCACCTGCGCGAACTGACCCGCTCCATAATAGACCAGATACGTCGTCTGCCGGGAAACGCATACTGCTGTGATTGTGGCGCTGAAGGTCAGTAGGCATGATGACGGTTGACCCCTGTCAGAGCACATTCAGAACAGCGAACTAACAAATCCCCGGTTCAAATATGGCAGACCCACTTGAATGCTTGTTGCGTTATCACCATGGGGAAAGTATTCAGAGTCTAAGCATGAATTAAGTGGCAATCTTTTTAGTGGGTCGCAATATTTAATCCAGGGGTCTGTTAGTCCACTGTTCTGAATACGGTTTAATATGATACACAGGTCACATAGACAGATTATTTCATTGAACTGTATAGGTATAAAGGAAGATAACAAAGTTAGGCAAATATGAAAAGTAAACAAATGTGTTTATGCCAGAGTCTGTTCAGCATTTGGGGAAATTTAGAATAAATTTGTACCAACAAGGTAGTGCGAACTAATTCTGTGGGGACTCTTGCTTTAATGCAGTCAAATTACTGGACTAACACAACTTGGTTTTTCTAACATAAAAATGATTCCTTTAATATTATAGTTATCAGTACCAGTTATTATGAGTATTGTAGTCAATGATACTCTGATAATTTTCAGACCCAGAATGGCTGTCTACTAACCTTGGTATCCTGATATGTATTGACTGTTGTGGTATACACAGGGACCTCGGCGTCCACATCTCCAGGACGCAGTCTTTAGTCATTGACGAGATTGGGACATCACAGTTACTGGTGGGTTGAATTATCTGGTAGCAGTGTGTTGGGTGTGACAGTGAGTGTGTTAGGGGTTGAAGCAGGAGTCTCGTCTGGCAGTGGAGAAATGGTATGTTGTTAGCTTTGAACGCTTATACAGCAGCCAGGCTGTATCCTCCCCAGGGAGGCAAGAGCAACAACTTATGGTATGCAACAAGGCCAAAATGACCAGGATTCCTTTGATTTGTGAATTTATGCTTGTATGTGACCATGGCATGACTTTGAAGAACTTTCTTCCTCACATTGTGGCTCTATTTCAGCTTGCACGGGTGGTTAGCAATAGAAGTTTCAACGACATCATGGAGGCTACATTAGATACAAGTTATAAGCCGACTTCAACAAGTACAATGTAAGTGCATCTGTATTAAATTTAAAATTAAGTTTTTCTGGATTTATCCAAATATATAGGAGCTGTATTGATGCTCCATCCCCCCCAACCCTATGCATAGTAGTCCTGCACACCTTGGTGTGTAATATCCCTTTAATTTTTTTTTCAGAGGTTCTCTTTTATCTCTGTGTACTTTAGAATCCTTTCTAAAAGAAAATGTTATGGAATTTCACAATGTTAATGTAGCATGGATTCTGTCTGCTAAAACATTATTAAAATAACTAAATGATCGTTTCAGTAATTTTTCTCTTAGATACTGTGATAGGTTTTTTTCTCACAACAAATGCAGCTTCAAAACTATCTTTAAAAGCATTCTGCCCTTTAAACAATTTAGCAAAAATATTTATGAATATGATAGGAGTATGGCTTAACAATTTGTTAATCTTTTTGTATTGAAAGGGAGGAGAGGAAGGAATTTATCCGTGCCAAATACGAGCGCCACCGCTACGCCATCAAGACGTGTTTGACGATGGAGGACCTAAAGCTGGACCTGAAACAGGCAGTGCTCAGTGCTGACATCTATGGGCTGTTACAGGTGTACGCGGAGGGGCAGGATCTGATGGCGGTTTTACCAGATACTGTGAGTATTATGTTGTTGTTCCCTGTTCATAACTGTTTATGAATAATATACACCTTGTTTGCTGGTGATTGAAATTTGAATTGATGTAGACATTGGTTGCTACACAAAATATGCAGAAAGGAGATAATTTTTTCAAAAACCTGTCTTAAAAGAAATATGAATTGAAAGATTAACCAGTGTTAGGTTTTTTGTTTGTTTCCATTGTTTTAAGCTGTCCAGGTAATTGGGTTTTTCTATGTAGTGCATGATTAAATAATCTCAGTAGATGTTTCATAACAGAATGTTATTGACAAGTTGTATTAAAATGTTGTGATGGCATAGTGACACTGAGTACATCGAGGCTGGGGACCACTTTCACAGTAATGTGTGTGTGTATGTCTGTGTATGGCCTGTCATTGGTGAAAATATTCCAGTGACTGAGACATGTTACCTCTTTTATTATATCATTTTAGGAAGATGAAGAGACGGCTCTCCACTTAGCAGTGAAACAGACAGATGGAATGTCGCTACATATTGCAGACTTTGTCATCCAGAATACCAACAAGTAAAGTATAGCTGTATAGATGGGAATATAGAACCAGAAGCTGATCAAAATTGAGATTTTTAATGATCATAATAAAGATAATGAATATTTAGAATTCTGTGTGACAACCTTGACTACTAGGTTAAAAGTGCATCAGAATTTCTCCATAAATTCAAACACTTTCCGATCAATCTCTTTGTATGGGCCAAATTTTAGAAATAGATTTAAAGCCATTCTAATGGAGAGAACATTGTTTTCCACTTAATTCTGATCCATGTTTAGATTTATACAATTTACAATTAAATTATTAATAGATATTAAATGATTGTAAGAATACACATTTCCACCGTGTTTTACGTTTTTCAGTCGTAATTTAGACATGGCCACCAGAGATGGGTATACGGCCCTCCACTACTGTGCCCAGGCAAACAGAACCGAGGAGATGAAGTTACTGTTGCGAGCATGCCCTGCCCTGGCATCGGTGGAAACCAAAGATGGCCGCACAGCGATGGACATTGCACGGGAGGAGAACAATGAGCACTGTATAGACTTGGTAAGATGTAGTGGAAGAACACAGTAGAGGGGGGGGAGGTCTGAGGCCTGTTTTCAATGAAAATGTGCCAACCTAACTTAATTAGGGTAGGTGGGTAAGGATGACGCCAGAGGGGATCTTTCCCAGTTTAAATGACAGTGACCATGGTTGCGGGAGGGGCGTGGGCAGCTTATGGTGACAACTTGGGGTATTTTTCTCAGTGTGAATAAGATGCCAGTATTGACATTGTCTGGTTGCAGCTGAAGCATGCTCTGGAGGGGAAGACCAAGCTGTTTGAGAATGTGAACATTGACTGGGACCTGGTCAGCTCTGATGAGAACACACTTGACACTGTGGACTACAGTGATGACGAGCTGGAAGACAGAGTAAGTCAACATGAGTGTGTTGGGTGTGACAGTGAGTGTGTTGGGTGTGACAGTGAGTGTGTTAGATGTGACAGTGAGTGTGTTAGGTGTGACAGTGAGTGTGTTAGATGTGACAGTGGGTGTGATGGCAAACTTGCACCCCATTTCCATAGATTTTTAGATCGATCTATCCCTGCGGGGAGTTTCACTAGATTACTGCCAGCTTAGCCGGCTTAAGCGTCTGTCCCGCCTACTAAAAGCTGTAAGGGGGTAATTAACTATGGTGCCCGCTCGGCTCACTGCAATTTAGCGTGAACCCCCAGGGAGTTAGGTCGATCTAAATCTTAATCTCTAGATCGATCTAAATCTCTGGGAAAGCACCCTTGGACAACAGAGTAAGTCACTGCTACCAGCCGGATTGGAGATGTGTGTTAGGTGTGTCAGTGTGTTAGATGTGTTAACAAGCTGGAGGACGGCATTTATGTCAATATTTTGGGTTTCTTCAAATCAAGAAATTTCCTTTGTAGTTTATTACAGAAGTAATAGAAGTCTTGCTGTTGAAATCCGGAGACAAGTGCAAAATTTCATCTTGAATAATACTATCTGCATTTGAACGTTCCAGAATTATTCCTATTTTCTATATATATCTTGTAAAGCAATTTATCACAATTAATTCCATTTTCTGTCACCAGGGCACACCTGACAAGAAGAACCGCTCCAGACCTCCAAGTCTGGTCATGACCAAAGACAGTATTATCCCCATTCCAGCGCGTGAGAGGCGCTCCAGTCTAGGTGACGGGCTCAAAGTGAACCTTAACAACCTTCCTCCCCCACCTCCCCCTCAATCCAGCAAACCCAAAGGTATGTTGTGTTCTTTTCTTAGACCAGCCTGTCTTGTCACACCCACTGCGCCCCCTACAGTTCTGTTAACCCAGAGATGTGTTGTTGTCTCATCCACCACAATCTAAGTGTCTCACCTAACACATTCTGTCCTGTAACTAGTCCTTTGCAATGCCTACAGACCCGGTCACTGACCCAGTTAGGGTGTTCTGGGTTTCTTCAGCCAGGGAGATTAGTGGACAGAATGAAGCTATCTTTTCCCATAGTTTCATACACATGCCTAGAATTTTTTAACACATATATCCTGTGGTTAGCAAACAAAGCAACCACACCAGCGTTGTGTCTGTGTAAACAGCATGTATATAAGGACAGCATGGGGAACTCTCTCTGTAGTTTTATATGAAGTACCCGGCATCTTTCTTCAGGTACACTTCACTGGCATATCATAGTCATAAGATGTCAACGCAAACATTACTGACTGACAAAGTGGTATCAAAACTTTGTTATTGTTCACTTTAATTTACTGTTTGTCAATTACAAATTAATCAGTGACATGCCTGTTTCTTGCATGTTTCTCTCTCATTCTTCTTGGGAGACATTCCCTCCTGTAATTTACAAACTTACAAATTGGTGTATATATTTTACTATAACTATCGTATCATTTGTCATGTATCTCTTTCCAACAAAATTATTATAATTAATATAATACTCTTTCTTTTGGCACATGTTGAAATCATTCTTTTACAATACATTTAAGCCAGGGTATACTGTTTTCAATGTAATTAATGTATAGTACAACAATGAATTAACTTTAAAAAATAATGTACATTATCAATATGGTAAATGTAAACCATTGAGGGGCATTATTAACCAACACACTGCCCTCTTCTCCCTCAGCACAATGATGATACTAACCACATCTCAACTAACACAATCATCATCATTGTGTTTCCCTCCCCAGCACAATGATGAAACTAACCACATCTCAACTAACGCAATCATCATCATTGTGTTTCCCTCCCCAGCACAATGATGATACTGACCACTCTAAACTAACGCAATCATCATCATTGTGTTTCCCTCCCCAGCACGATGATACTGACCACATCTCAACTAACACAATAATCATCATTGTGTTTCCCTCCCCAGCACAATGATGATACTGACCACATCTCAACTAACACAATAATCATCATTGTGTTTCCCTCCCCAGCACAATGATGATACTGACCACATCTCAACTAACACAATAATCATCATTGTGTTTCCCTCCCCAGCACAATGATGATACTAACCATATCTCAACTAACACAATCATCATCATTGTGTTTCCCTCCCCAGCACAATGATGATACTGACCACATCTCAACTAACACAATCATCATCGTGTTTCACTCCCCAGCACAATGATGATACTAACCACATCTCAACTAACACAATCATCATCATTGTGTTTTCCCTCCCCAGCACAATGATGATACTGACCACATCTCAGCTAACGCAATTATCATCATTGTGTTTCCCTCGTCTTCCTTCCAGGCCTGACTTTCTCCTCCACCACCCCCCTCGCTTCTGTCTCAGTGGGGTTGGCTGGGAAGAAAAAAGCCCCTGCCCCTCTTCCCCCAGGGGTGGGGAGTGGCCACACCCGTATGGTTTCTGACCCCAGTGGTAAGTTGCTGTTTCTAAATGTGCATGAACTTAATATTATCGCATGTGGAGATGTCTTATCATGTTATTATTATTATAATTATTTTAATCTTAAAAGATTTACATAACTGATTCTTTGAAAATCTTGAAGGATTAAATTCTCAAAACAAAGTACAGATGATATATAATGTGCATGGTTGTGGTACAATATAACGTATAATGTGTTAGAAGGTGGTTTAACATAGACACTTGTTTCTATTACTTAATCAACATTTTCTTAATACAGTCCTTCACCCCCCCCCCTCCTCACCCCCCAAGAAGAGAAAAAAAATCAACCAACCAACCAACCAAAAATATCACTCAATAAAAGAATGATTGTCATAACTAGCACATTTTTGAAAATGTCTTTTCACGATTTAAACAAGGATCTGAAGAATTAAAGATTTATGGAAACAATAAGCATGAAAAAGAAATTAAATTTCCTGATCTAGATATTTATTGATTTGTTCTCAGTTTGTTTCATATTATTGCCGTGTAAGTAGTGAATGTGCATGTGTGTGCGTGCGTGCAGGTGCGTGTGAATGTTTGTATGTGATGTCCAACAGGCCGAAGTTCAAGAGATGCAGATATAAAAATCTGTTTTATGTTTCTGTGAGATATCATTTACACTTTCAAAACAGTGAGTAGATAATATAAACGACAGTCTTGGTGTACAGCAACTATGTAGCTTATAGAATGGTGAAGCTTACATTGACCTGTTGGTAATAACACATTACCTTTATTTTCTCCTTCCTCAGGTATAAACCTGGATCAGGTCAACCGTGCCCGCGTCCCGTCAGACCCCTCCATGCCGCCGCCATTACCCATGAAGAACAAGGATAAGATTCAGGCACCGCCTGGTGGTAAACTGGTGCTACCGCCACCTCTGCAGTTCAGGAACCAGACTGGCGCAATGTAAGTTAGACAATGGCCTCAGTCAATAGGAGACTAACTAGTGCAGGGGTCCACTGTGTCGACCCACTACAAAGCTTGCCATTTAATCCACTGATAGACACTGAATAGATATCCACTGAGGAAGTATTCAAGTGGGTCGGCCATATTTGACCCTTGGACTAGTTAGTCCACTGTTCTGAATGGGGCCAATGTAGATATATGTGACACAGAGTAAGACATGGACAGTTGCGGTTCTCAAACTCAAAATTAATTTAGTAAAATACACACAGGTCCACATGAGCATCTTATTATTCCAACCCTCTTATTGTCTTTGTTAAAGAGATGATGAAAAAACAGTTGAAGTATAGTTCGTATGTAAGTGTGAAAATGTGGTTGACACATTGCATGCACATGCATGTCAGCGCATGCACGCATTCACACACACACACACACTCACACACACACTCCCCCCAACACACAATTTCTGCCTTATTTTTACTTGAACTTAATTTCATCTCAGCAGCAGCAACAGCAGTAAAAAGTCGCGGACATCCAGTGCCTCAAGCGATAAGCCAGTTCCAGCGCCAAGAAGAAGTACTATAGGTGGCGCTCCAGTGTTCTCCCAGCCCGAGGCTGTCAAAGCTGCTAGCAGTATGGAACGTCTATCTAACGGGAGATCCAGCGAGAGTCTGGACTCCACGGACTCGGCAGCAGGCGGAGGTCTTCAGCCGCACCCCACCCCCAGGACTAAGGTAATGAGTCCTTACCGCCACCTACACTCACAGTGTTTCTGCTAGTGGTCAGGCATATTTTGGGGGAGGGGTCAGGGGGGGAGAATTTTGACTTTGATTTTGAATCATGGTTCTAAACAATTCCAAAATTTTTCGGGCTTTTTGGTGGGCCCCTTACACCTTGCCAAGGGGGGAGGGTCGGCTTTGCATCCGAGGACCTCCCTCCCCCCTTCAAATAATACTGGATCCTCTCCTGTCACGGGGCTGGAAGATAATATTTTTGTTTGCTCACCATTAATTGTTGAATTTTTAGTGTCAGTATTTTATTATTATTATTATTTTTTTTTTTTTTTTTTTGGCAATTACTTTGTTCTCAGGCTTTATTCTAAATATTTCATCATCAGGAGGTGTGGATTGATCTCACTTCTTGTATTTTTCTCCTTTCCTGTAGAAAAAAATGTCTTTGAGGAGACAAAGGAAATGCAGGGCATTGTACGATTGTGATGCTGATAATGACGATGAATTGTCTTTCAAAGAAGGAGAAATTATTATACTACTTAGAGAGGAGGATGAGGATTGGTGGGTAAGTACACGGGTTTTCATTGGTTGTTTGGGTGAGAATTCTTACATATATGAAAAAAATATAAAAGGTTTGTTTGTAAGTGTTAACAATATACGTTTTATTAGATGCACATAAAGAGCTTTTTTAAACATTTTTCCTTCTGTGTCATCGCGTGCCATTGTCATTTTCAATTTCATTGTCAATTTCAGGAAGGAGAGGTAGATGGAGAACCACATCGAAAAGGACTCTTTCCAGCCTCTTTTGTGGAAAGAGTTGTAGAGGATTCTGGGGGATAGAGGGCAGTGTCTCAACTAACGCAACCCTGGAACTCCTAACACAATCTTCACAACCTCACTGTGGGCGTGACATTCCCAAAGGCACCTCTTCCTGGTATTGTGCAGGCAAAATAAAGACCCTAAGGTGTCCAGCTCAGCAGTAGGGCTGTTCAGAGTCTTCATATGATGTCATTCAGAGCAGAGTGGTTCTGGATTAACAAAGAGATAACAGACAGTACCAGAGCTTCCCCACATTTTTTTGCTTGAAAGAACGTTCTCTCAAAGGGATTTATATTTATTTGTTCTCGACAGTGAAAATGATATTATGTTTTTTGAAGCTGGAGGAAGCGGTCTGTTGTTGTGTATAGGTACATATATTGAATGTGACAGTGTCTGATATAGAAATGATATAGAAATGATCTGTACATAATTGTCCTTACGTACTAGTGCTGGGAGACTGTATAAAGATGACTTTCTCCCATGATTGACAGTGACATGTTATTTAGGACAAAGACAAATATCAATTTTTTTTGTCTTTTGTCCGATAATGATACTGCAAAATATGAATTTGCAGTGTTTTAAAGCCTTTGGAATAATATGACATTATTTTAGCATGAAGCCAATATTTGCTACATTTGATGTATGATACTTAGTTTCAGCTGAGAATAAAAGGGAGATGCAACGGAAAGAATGATGGCAAATTAGTGTAAAAAAAATAATAAGTTGATATTAAAATGTTATAGAAAATAATGAAAAATCAGATCACTATGTATTTTGTGTTGTTATAAGTTACAGTTCTACACTGTACATTATGTATTGAAAACATTAGTTTCTTCATTCCTTCAGGACCAAATAAGTTTTGAAATTTTGTATAGATTATAGTTGATAGCAGTGAGGAGGTTCCAGGTAGAAGAAGTGGGTGTTCCAGTTTACTTGGTTGTCATGGTTTTATTCTTCCATATATATTATATTGAGTTATAAGACATTCCAAACTTTGAATCATTTCCTCATTAGTCTCCAGTGAAAGGCTTACAAATATAGAAAAAACTTCATCTTTTTAATGGGCAAAAATTATTGATCCTTCAGTTATATAATTATATTTCTATTTAGCCTCTGTGGTGCTTCAGCTGCATAGACTAGAACTATAGGGTGGCCTGCCTTTCAATATTATTGCTGCCACTCAATAGGAATGTTGTAATTTAAAGAATTTCTGACTTAAAAATACAGCATCTGTTAAATTCACAATTTTCCCAATTTAAAAGATGGAGTCATTGCCGCAAATGATGGCGTTCAATGACAGGACAAATATTGAAAATATGCATGCTCAGAATACATTTTAAAAATTTCCCTGTGCTTCCTTTTCCTTCCTTCCTAGTTGAGAAAAAGAAGTGGCCTTCTATGTTATTGACAGCTGCTCTTGTGTTATATATATTTTGCCTTTTGTCAGAAAGTGACGTCTTGCAGGTAGTGCTTGACCAGTAGTGCCACCTATTGCTATGTCTTGCAAGCAATACTTTTGTGAAATATTTTCTGTGTACTTGAAAATCTTGGCAAATATTGACAAATATTATTCTTTGGAGGAAATAATTGAATCTTTTAATGTTCTCTAAATAACCCAAATCTTACTTTGTATCTCAACTTATAAAACCTAGCTCAATCACTCAAGCATTACTCTGTGGAGTGAATCAAATCTTTAAATGCAGAAATGGTGTTAGTAAGTCTATTTCAGTAAAACAGTTGCTCAGTGTATTGTTATTATGTCATACCTTCAGAAGAGTTCTTAATCTCTTGATGCTAATGTTACTAATGGTAAAACAACAAACAGGAAAGGGAATTGGCACTTGAATTGCTTTACCTTGAGAACAATGGAGGTTTTACCTTGAGAAGAGCAGACTGTGGTTGAAGTTTAAGAGGATGCCATTTTCATTTTGGGATATTCCCCCACATTTGTGTCTGTGTCTGAATACTATAATTTAAATATGACAAATATATTTTGATTATTATTATTGATAATTGTCTTCTTGCACGTAATAATTATTCCAGGTACTTATTTGAGATTTTAATAATGAATTATTATTAATGATTGTATATAGACTCAAGTGGTGTCAATGAACAGGAATTATGTGTTAAATTTTACATATAGTACCAATGCACCTAATCACAGAGTCAAAACAACAGTTTTTATTTCATATGTACCATATAAGTCTATGTTTCAGTTGGGAGGATAAGAAGTACCTTAAAATAAAACAATACTTAAATAAAGCATGCTTGTTACACGTTGTATTATGAGGTATTTTTTAAGAGAGTCCACGAGATTGGTGTCACAGCTACCACAATCTACTGTCACACCTAACACAATCATTTGTCACAGCCAGCACACTTCTGTCTCACCTAACACAATCATTTGTCACAGCTACCACACTTCTGTCACACCTAACACAATCATTTGTCACAGCTACTACACTTCTGTCTCACCTAACACAATCATTTGTCACAGCTACCACACTTCTGTCTCACCTAACACAATCATTTGTCACAGCTACCACACTTCTGTCTCACCTAACACAATCATTTGTCACAGCTACCACACTTCTGTCTCACCTAACACAATCATTTGTCACAGCTACCACACTTGTCAAATCTTAAATACTTGTCACAATCAACTGTCACATCCAACAATCTACTGTCATTGCTAACAAAATAAATCTAGAACCTTTTATTAAAGACATATACATTGGCAGGTTTGCCCATATCACAATTTGTTTGTAAAATTACTTGCATAATTGATAAAAATTCACATAAACAGATAAACTGTAAGTTGGACAATATGGAATTTATAGTTGATAAAAATAAGCTACCCTTAGTAATACTTTCTTGGTTTTCCTTGACTTTATATTTCAGCAAGTTCTAAACCAAGGGAAATGTGAGAATACTATACATTTCACAACAATGCTGATATTTTGTCATTTCAGCAGTCCTTAGCACAAAAAAAGTGACCACTTTTGATTAATCTTTAATCAAACAATACTTACATAGTTTCAAATATGAAACCACTTGAACTGGATTGTAATTAATTGGATATTTAAAAATTTGCTCAAAATCGTTGTCATGTGGAAAATTGTTCACCTGGATAAATTATTTTGAATGGATCACGATGGAGTAGAAAGAGGAGGGGGGAGGAAGGGGCAGATGGGAAGGTGGGGATTCACTTCTAACCATCAGCGCCTATGAGAAAGTAAAAGCATGCTAAGTTAAGTGAGTCAAAATTTTTCAAGCCTTCTGCCTTTGCCAGTTGTACAGCTTTTCAATGCATGTGGGCTGAAACAGCTGCTCACATGCCTGTGTCCTCATAAAAATACTTTTCCAATCTCTTCCTTTTTACATTTTCTTTAAACTACACATCTAAGGCTTCATATTGTTCATTTCTCTGGAGTGTCAGACATCAATACATTGTATTTATAAAAAGACTCCTTGAACAGCAAATAACAGTTCAAAATACACTTGGCAGAAAAATTTAACGCATAAATTAATTGTATGGCGAGTCTGCCACTTCCATTGTAAAATGCCTCCTGCTCCTTGTGTGAATATTTTTGGCAGCTACAGTTTAGTCTTCTAATATAAAGTGACTAATGATCAAATTATATGCAGTATGTATATGCACATAATATGCACATATACACTTCTCTAAAAATAACATTATTCCGAATTTACAGGAGGTGCATCTGTTTTCTTCTCTTCACGTTTTGCAGCAACTTTTCTTATTTTCCGCAGAGCTGACATTTTCCAAGTCAAGATCAACTGAGCTTGAAGTCCGTTTTTTACGCTCCTCGCCCTCGGGCAAACAGTGCTCAAATATGTACTCAAACAACCGTTTCACATTCTGTCCGCTGAGACTGGATGTCTCGAAATACGGTATCACAGGTTTGTCGTCCTTTGGAGGCAAATGCTGATTGATTTCGCGTGCAAATGCAAGCACCTGCTGACTGCTGACGGCGCGTGTTGATGGTGACACGAGGTCAGCTTTCGTTGCCACAACAACATGGAGACAGTCTTTCTCGGCTGCCTCCAGGAGAGGGACAAATCTCTCTCTGAAATACNTTTGTCACAGCTACCACACTTGTCAAATCTTAAATACTTGTCACAATCAACTGTCACATCCAACAATCTACTGTCATTGCTAACAAAATAAATCTAGAACCTTTTATTAAAGACATATACATTGGCAGGTTTGCCCATATCACAATTTGTTTGTAAAATTACTTGCATAATTGATAAAAATTCACATAAACAGATAAACTGTAAGTTGGACAATATGGAATTTATAGTTGATAAAAATAAGCTACCCTTAGTAATACTTTCTTGGTTTTCCTTGACTTTATATTTCAGCAAGTTCTAAACCAAGGGAAATGTGAGAATACTATACATTTCACAACAATGCTGATATTTTGTCATTTCAGCAGTCCTTAGCACAAAAAAAGTGACCACTTTTGATTAATCTTTAATCAAACAATACTTACATAGTTTCAAATATGAAACCACTTGAACTGGATTGTAATTAATTGGATATTTAAAAATTTGCTCAAAATCGTTGTCATGTGGAAAATTGTTCACCTGGATAAATTATTTTGAATGGATCACGATGGAGTAGAAAGAGGAGGGGGGAGGAAGGGGCAGATGGGAAGGTGGGGATTCACTTCTAACCATCAGCGCCTATGAGAAAGTAAAAGCATGCTAAGTTAAGTGAGTCAAAATTTTTCAAGCCTTCTGCCTTTGCCAGTTGTACAGCTTTTCAATGCATGTGGGCTGAAACAGCTGCTCACATGCCTGTGTCCTCATAAAAATACTTTTCCAATCTCTTCCTTTTTACATTTTCTTTAAACTACACATCTAAGGCTTCATATTGTTCATTTCTCTGGAGTGTCAGACATCAATACATTGTATTTATAAAAAGACTCCTTGAACAGCAAATAACAGTTCAAAATACACTTGGCAGAAAAATTTAACGCATAAATTAATTGTATGGCGAGTCTGCCACTTCCATTGTAAAATGCCTCCTGCTCCTTGTGTGAATATTTTTGGCAGCTACAGTTTAGTCTTCTAATATAAAGTGACTAATGATCAAATTATATGCAGTATGTATATGCACATAATATGCACATATACACTTCTCTAAAAATAACATTATTCCGAATTTACAGGAGGTGCATCTGTTTTCTTCTCTTCACGTTTTGCAGCAACTTTTCTTATTTTCCGCAGAGCTGACATTTTCCAAGTCAAGATCAACTGAGCTTGAAGTCCGTTTTTTACGCTCCTCGCCCTCGGGCAAACAGTGCTCAAATATGTACTCAAACAACCGTTTCACATTCTGTCCGCTGAGACTGGATGTCTCGAAATACGGTATCACAGGTTTGTCGTCCTTTGGAGGCAAATGCTGATTGATTTCGCGTGCAAATGCAAGCACCTGCTGACTGCTGACGGCGCGTGTTGATGGTGACACGAGGTCAGCTTTCGTTGCCACAACAACATGGAGACAGTCTTTCTCGGCTGCCTCCAGGAGAGGGACAAATCTCTCTCTGAAATACACAAATAGTCAATTATCTACTTATTAATATAGTGTATAATAATAATAATAATAATAATAATAATAAAAGTTGCCTTAAAGTCTTACATATACTGCATATGTTTTCTGGTGCTATGTTTCTGTCCTGTGATCAAATTACTAGCAAATTTCCACCAGCACTGTCTTTGTTCCATTTTGTGTATAAAGTGACAAAGCTATGAGTAAATATATATCTCATGTTGAAGTTTTGAGAAACAGCTTAAGTGTCAAACACTGAGGCAATTACACCTTGGAAAGCAGCTACGGTGTTCAGGCCATGTCTCTCAGATGGAAGACAAGGATGTCTTAGGGCGTATTCCCATAGATTTTACATCCATCTATCCCCATGGGGAGTCTCACTAGATTACTGTCAGATAATCCGGCTTAAATGTCCGTCCTGCCTACTACAAGGGGGTAATTAACTTTCGTGCCCACTCAGCTGACAGCTATTTAGCGTGAACCCCCAGGGAGTTAGGTCGATCTAGTTTGGATCGATCTAATCTCTGGGAATGGGGTCTAAGGTAGGTTTTTTTGTAGTTATCTCATGTATGTTGTGATAAAGTTGACTGAGCATATGTAAGTACTGTGTACTAGACTTGTGGTCTGAGTGCTTTTATGGTTATTTTTTGTTGTACTGTGAGATGGTTGTTAGAATAAATGTATTACTTTGTGCCAATCTTGTCTGGATCGGGGGGGGGGGGGGTATTGAGGCCGTCTTCTGGATCTTCCGAAAGACAGTCAGATTTTCAAGTTTACATTGCAATTTTTTCTGTTGGAAGACGGTTAAAATGAGAGAACAGATCAACAAAGACAATTTGGAAGACTGTCAGAAAATAGCTCTCGATCCCCCCTGTGGATGATTTTTGTAATTTGCTGGCATAAAGATCTGAGCTATACTGGTACAAACATATTTTGAGTTGTGTGACTGTTTGTTCTGTTGTGTTCTACCTCAAAGCCTGGAACGACTGCTGCGAGCAAGGATCAAAGGCTAAGATGGCCGCCGACGCACCACGACAATAGAAAGAGCTGAGACCAGAAAACCTCTCTTCTCCCGCAGTGTCCTGGAGATGCAATAATATTACAGGTCACAGGTCACAGAGGTCACAGGTCACAGAGGTCACAGAGGTCAGATGTGAAACAGAAAGATTGTTACATTTCAGATTAGGTTTTACTGTAGACAAGTGAAACCCTGATGATATACACATACTACAGCTTACTGTAATATCATCTACATAATATGATTTTAGTAAGAACTCTTAAATGTTTCATATGTTACAACATTATTACATGATCTTAATAAACAGATATTTAAAAATGATTTTTGAGTGAAAGAAATTAATAAAGTCATTTCTGCAAATACTAGTAACAGTTCTGTAAATGTAAAGCATTTCAATTCCAATACAAATTTTCAATAGGAACATTTTTATCTTTTTCTTTTTAAGAAATATAGCTGGTTTGTATGATGATGTATCCTATAGACCTGAAGCTCCACAAGTTCTACAGAATTATTCTGTGCAAAGAAGGACTAATTACCCATAACGCAACATTATAGTTCCCCCATTGTTTTAAATAAAACGATGCACCTAGAGTCTGAAAAATAAAGGTATAAGGGAATAAATTTGGATTAAAAAATACGGAGGAAAAGAGTTGGTTTGAAAAACAAGTAAATATTCTAAACATTTTTATAATGTGATAACTTTAAGGTTGGCTGATGATAAGCTTACTTTTAATGCTACAGAGGTGCAGAAGTGAAAATGAAAGTGAAAGCTGATTATGTATTTAAAATATCTCACTGCAATTAATTATGTGTCAATGATCTATGACACATTGGTTTTAATATTATGAAAATTATGAAAACAAGATCCATTACAATAAACAAAAAGTTGACAAGTGTATGTGTGTGTATGAACACTGTCCTTACTGTAGATGTATCAGGATCAAATGTTCCTTCAATGTACCGTCGTATAAGACACGTCTTCCCGATACTTGCCTCCCCGACGATTACCACCTTCAGGTCACTGAAACAGGTCAAACAACAAATTATAATCTTTATTGAGATGTGGAATACCCGAGGGTAGAAATTGTACATGTATATTTTATTTAAATCACAAGTGAAAGGAAGCCTGGTCATTTTGGCCCTGTTACACACTATTACTTGTCGCTCTCGCCTAACTAGGGAGGATACAGTCCGGCTGCCGTATTAGGCGCTCACAGCTTCTAAATGTACCATTTCTCCACTGCGAGACCAGACCCCTACTTCAATCCCTACATTCATAGATAGAAATAATCTTCACAGTATTTAGGAGGAAAACTAATGATATTTCTTAATATTTCTTATCTGGATGAATGGTTGACTTATACGTGTGTTTTGGGATATCTGTAGTAGGTGTGTTTACATAGGAGCTAGGTATACCCATCTCAGTACCCCTCACTAGCCTCCCCACGCGTCTGGTAGAAAGGAGCCAAAGTTTAATTACTAAGAGGCGTGTGACAGGCGGAGAGACCATAACAAGTTTAAGCAGTCTTCCTTTCCTGTAGGGTCCACTGTATTTGGTCCTTGGGTCAGTTGATACTTGGATTTTCTACTCTGAATGGCCCCCAGTAATAAACTCAACCACAACTGCACTTGTTCTGATATATGTAACAAACTATCAAAACATTTTTTATCTAAATAAATAGAGATGTATAGATATACCATCATGGCATTTAGTAACACAAAGAGATACAGGTACTCGTAGCTAATAAAGGGAGATAGGCGAGATTAACTGTTATCATATCTGCTGTGGGCTGGATTATATTCAGTGTTTCAGTCAACAATTTCGATGACCAGATACCGTTATCTGATAGCTGTGCCTGCTTTGCCTGCAATCTGTGCATGTATAGATGTTAAATGGCAGGAGGCATGGGACTGTCACGAGGGGATCATCAAATACAGGACATTATTGCCCTGTGGAAGCGCAGTCATCTTTTTTTTTTTTTTTCAACTGTAATTTTAGTGTGTAGCCCTGTTACAACATTTAACTCTTAACTCAATGTAGAGATAATATTAATAAGAATAATAATAAGAATAATATAGCAGTTCATTAATTCATTAATTAATTAAGGAATGGTGTAAGTAAATCCTGATTAAAAAATCAGTTCAAAATTTAATTTAAATTTATCAATTCTTACGATAAATCATTCAACTTCTGGTGTTCCCTCGATTAACATGTTCATATGACTACAAACACATTAAAACTCTTCATAATATTAACATGGAGTAAACTAATGTATCAGGTACTTTCAAACATAGAAATATTGGAGCGTTTGTTAAGAGTTCAGATTCAAAATTTGTACGGGGGAGGGGGGTTGTACCAGCCGATGGGACTGGGGGGGGAGCATGGAGACAGGGTTGCCGTTTACGGGGAGGGGGTAATTTTGAAGTCGAAACATAAAATCCATGGCGAACATAAGTGATTCTTTGGGCTCATATAATTGAACAATCTGATTTATCTGGGGTTAAAATTCAACAAATAATCACAGCAAACTGATTCATCATCAGATGCTCTCACCGTTAGCTCGGGACGGGATGTAAACAAACTGGAGTCGCCGCCCATACTTACGCTTTCTTCTTCTTTGCCGTATTTGACATAATGTGGAGACGCGTATATCAATTCCTATATTCCCTCCTGTCCTTTGACGTACTTTTCGGCCTGAAATAAAACTTTGAGAGCTACTGAAAATCCCTGATAGGGTTTGTTGTGCTACCGACACCGCCCCACAATCCACCGCGTTGACCTAATTCCAGCACCGGAAGCACATGGCTTTGGAGGACGTCAACAAACCATCGAGAACTGGTCGTGTGATGAGAGTTATTATATTGTGGTGCTTTGATCAGGCTGTTTAGGCAAGATGGAGACGGTGCTGCTAGGAGTTTGTGACGAGGAGGTAGGGGAGGGTGATGTCACGGACTGGAAAACGAACAAGTTTGGTGGGAATCCTGTGAGTTAAAGTTTAGAAAAAATACCTCTCTCTCTCTCTCTCTCTCTCTCTCTCTCTCTCTCTCTCTCTCTCTCAAGACTAAGTAAAGTCTTGAGCTGTGAAATATCTCTTTACCACGCAGATAAGCGTTTTTATCATAATCATATCATTATAAAAGATAAACTTATAAAACCTGATTTCACTCAGTTGTGTATTTAGGGTATCAATTAATCCCCTATATCCCAGTTCTGTGCCACTACTGTACTTGTATTTTAATTTTCATTACAATTTTAATTATTATTAAAACATTGCCATATTTCAGGATTTTCCCAGCAATGTCGAGCCCCCAACCCCAGTGTGTGAGCTCTGTGGCAAGAGGCTCTTGTTGGTAACACAGCTCTACTGCCCTCTACAGGGCTCTCTGTACCACAGAACTATGTACATATTTGGCTGTGTTACCAAGACATGCTGGAACAAGTCCGAGAGGTACTATACTGTGTGCATGTGCACCATGTTTTATTTTATTTTTATTTATTTATTTATTTATTTATTTTTTATTTATTTATTTATTTTTTTTTTTTTGGGGGGGGAGGAGTGGGAATACCTGACTGGACAAGGGATCAAACCTGAGACACTCACTAACTGCTGGCTAACTACCACTGAGCTGTTGAGCTTAGGTCTACTGAGTACTCCCACCAGTCACTAAAGTCCTCTCCCCAAATGCTGAAAGAGCAAGTCTATCCCTTCTTTTGCCACTGCCACCACTGTATTATTTAGGAGGAAATACCTCGATCACTCTGCCTAGGGCACTTGCTTAGGTGCGAGTTCTCTATCTCTAAGCCCTCTTCTACCCCCCTCCCCCCCCCCGTCACTATACACTTAGTAGTATAAAAGAACCCTAATACTTGCTGTGACAACATGATTGTGAAGAGTTTGCATCACATTTAATGAGCTACCAGTGTTTAATGAGTTCTACAGTGGAACTTTGTTACATACATTCTTAAATGTTTGCACTAAACATATTGTGCCCATGTTAGTGGGAGAGGGGGAGAAATTTGATCTGATCATGCATTCATACTGTACATGTAATTTATAAACCCAGGACCCTTGCCTAGAAGAATACACAAATGCACTTGTATTTCACTACATGTTAATATGTATGCTGTTATTGAATAACTTCTTTGTCCTGTTTTCTATTATTTTTAGCTGGAAAGTGCTCAGAGTCCAACAGTTAGACAGTGCTGCAAGTGAAACACACCAGGCAAACACCACCACTGATTGGGATGTTTCCAAGGAGACTGTTGTCATGGCAACCACAGATTGGTGTGATGACGCAGATAACTGGGGTGTAGCCAAGGTAACTGGTACCATGGCAACCACAGATTGGTGTGATGATGCGGATGACTGGGGCACATCCCATAATACTTACACTGATAGTGTTGTATCTACCCCACCAAACACTGAAAAGGATTTGAATAAAAACACTCCCAACCTTAACACAGAGGCTGAATCAGATGAATTAGCTAGTAACATGAAAACTTTACATCTGCAGGCATCACCTTCAGAGTCCAACAGGTCATATGCATCTGTTGCCAGGGCAACCAGCCCAGCAATGGTTGCTATGGAAACAGATCCAGCAGATCTTGTTGATAGTGGGGTGGACTCTGTCCAGTGTATTGCTGAAGACATCCCTGCTGTTGACTGGGATAACGTACTGTCTGTGCTTGCCACTGGGAACGCCACTGGGAACACCACACATCAGATAACCTCAGGAGAAATGACCGCTGCCCATGGAACTGTAACTGATGACGGGAGAGTGACCAAAGATACTGCACAGACAACTAATACTGCTGACTCTTCACCACGAATCTGCTTCAAACCATATTATGTTAATGTATTTGAGGAGAATGAGGTCAAGGTCAGTGCCAGTGACCTTGACAGTGACCTTGACCACATTCATCAGCTCCTGAAGGCCTACAGCAGTCAGGAGGGGGTCAGCGTGGATGCCATGATGGAGGACGGTGATGACCGGTGATTGATTGCTTTTATGAAAACAAATTCGTTCTTCTGATATGTTTTACATATTTATTTATTATGGAAGGGAAGTGATGTGATGGAATTCAGTGAGACTGCTGGGCTTAGTTGTTTTCAAGATAATTGGTGTTTTAAAGGAGAGGCAAAATTGTTAATTACTAGAAGCTAGGCACATGCATGCAGTACTGCTAGTACTGTAGATCCCTATAAGCAAAAAGCATAATAGTGTATATATAACAGTGTATGAAATGGCCGCCAGTCCGACACCCTGAGGCTGGTAACTTTCACGCCGGGCAGGTAAGATTTACAAATTATTAAGGTTCTTTGCTTTTCAGAGTTACCTGCTCGGCGGTCTGGCTAGTAATTTCCTCTAATTTCATACACTGTATATAATATACAGAGGTATACTGTTATCAAAAGAAGATTAGATACAAGGTGATATGCTGGTTTTGTACATCATTTCCTTATTAGTGATCAACTTCAAACATTGATTTTGCAGCTCAGCCAAGGTATCTGGTAGGAAGGTGAAGGTCACTGGTGGCAAGGTGAAGGTCACAGAAAGTGGAGATGGGTATGAAAAGGTGGTGGCAAGACATGGAGATGTGATATTTGAAAAGTTCAAGAAGAGAATTTCTCTCTGCCCTCAGCAGTGTATAAGGTATTTCATGAAATGTTACCCGAGGTAGTAAGGTTGTTTGGCAGTAATAAATATACTATTTTCCCCCTTTGTATTATTATTATTATTATTATTATTANCGGAGCCGAGATTTAAATACTGTACCCCGCAGGGACGACGTGTGGGGAGGCGGAGAGACTATTAAAAGATTAGGCGGTTTTTCTTTCATGTACGTCCGCCATTTTTAGGTCACCGGCTTTGTAAAGCCTGGCTTAATTTGTTGAGAATGCGCTCTTAGTACTAATATAAAGGGACCCCAACACTTAAGTTGTTGTGACAGCAGGATTGTGTGGAGTGTGTATCACATTTAGATCATTGCTCATGAGCTACCAAACTCTCTTCAGTGGAACTTAGTTACGTGCTGGTATATTCTTAAATGTTTGCACTAAATATTGTGCCCTTGTTAGCGCGTGTGTGTGTGTGGGAGGGGGGGGGGGCGTAGCAATAGTCTGAAGGTTCAATAGTCTGAATGTTCATTGGTCCGAATGTTCACTGTAAAACCTTCAGACCAATGAACCCTTGGTTAAAGAATAGATAAAAATGATACCACTTTTCAGACAAATGAACCTTCAGACCAGTGAATCTTCGGACTGTTGAGACGCCCCCGTTAGTGGGAGTGGGGGAGAAATTCTGATCATGCATACGTACTGTACATGTAATAAATAAGCGTAAAACCCAGAGCATGTAAAAAATAAGCGTAAAACCCAGAGCAATATGGTAGTTGCACTAGCTACTATGCTTCAGTACATTCAGAGAAACAAAGGGAAATACAAATGCAATCCTCCTATTATTTGAAGTGCCAGTCATGGTATACGTAAGTCAGTTACAACTACCAGTACATGTCTTCCACTGGATGTGACATACAAATGGTCATTGTATCTCATCTGTGCTTGGCTGTGATTACACTCTTGTATGTGGCATACAGTATACAACTCATGTGGTTACGAGTTGTTACAGTAAGTATACCCAGCACTGAGCAGACAAACAACATTGATTCACCGTTGAATCAATGTTAATTTTGGTGGATCAACATTGAATCAACATAGAATCAATGTTGTTTGCCTGCTGGGTAATTTCATTCAGTTATTGGTTATCTGTATGCTATTACTGAATAATCTATTACAATTCTTGTATGTTACATACAGCTCATGTTGTAACTAGTATTGTAGGAATTGGTTCCATTCTACTATAATAATACTGTTATTGGTTGCCTGTATGTTGTTGTTGTATAATGTGTTTGTCCTTTTTTCCAGCTGGAAAGTGCTCAGAGTTCAACAGTTAGACAATGGTGCAAGTGAAACACACCAGGCAAACACCACCAGTGATTGGGATGTTTCCAAGGAGACTGTTGTCATGGCTACCACAGATTGGTGTGATGATGCAGATGACTGGGGTGTTGCCAAGGTAACTTGTACCATGGCAACCACAGATTGGTGTGATGATGCGGATGACTGGGGCACATCCCATAATACTTACACTGATAGTGTTGTATCAACCCCACCAAACATTGAAAAGGATTTGAATAAAAACACTCCCAACCTTAGCACAGAGGCTGAATCAGATGAATTAGCAAGTAACATGAAAACTTTACATCTGCAGGCGTCACCTTCAGAGTCCAACAGGTCATATGCATCTGTTGCCAGGGTAACCAGCCCAGTAATGGTTGCTATGGAAACAGATCCAGCAGACTCTGTTGATAGTGGGGTGGACTCTGTCCAGTGTATTGCTGAAGAATTCCCTGCTGTTGACTGGGATAACGTATTGTCAGTGCTTGCCACTGGGAGCACCACAGTTCAAATCACGGGTCAAACCACAGATCAGATAACCTCAGGAGAAATGACCGCTGCCCATGGAACTGTAACTGATGACGGGAGAGTGACCAAAGATCCTGCACAGTCAACTATTACTGCTGACTCTTCACCAGGAATCTGCTTCAAACCATATTATGTTAATGTGTTTGAGGAGAATGAGGTCAAGGTCAGTGCCAGTGACCTTGACAGTGACCTTGACCACATTCAGCAGCTCCTGAAGGCCTACAGCAGTCAGGAGGGGGTCAGCGTGGATGCCATGATGGACGACGGTGATGACCGGTGATTGATTGCTTTTATGAAAACAAATTCGTTCTTCTGATATGTTTTACATATTCTTTTATTATGGAGGGGAAGGGATGCGATGGAATTCAGTGAGACTGCTGGGCTTAGTTGTTTTCAAGATAATTGGTGTTTTAAAGGAGAGGCAAAATTGTTAATTACTAGAAGCTAGGCACATGCATGCAGTACTGCTAGTACTGTAGATCCCTATAAGCAAAAAGCATAATAGTGTATATATAACAGTGTATGAAATGGCCGCACCCTGAGGCTGGTAACTTTCACACCGGGCGGGTAAGATTTACAAATTATTAAGGTTCTTTGCTTTTCAGAGTTACCTGCTCATCGGTCTGGCTAGTAATTTCCTCTAATTTCATACACTGTATATAATATACAGAGGTATACTGTTATCAAAAGAAGATTAGATACAAGGTGATATGCTGGTTTTGTACGTCATTTCCTTATTAGTGATCAACTTCAAACATTGATTTTGCAGCTCAGCCAAGGTATCTGGTAGGAAGGTGAAGGTCACTGGTGGCAAGGTGAAGGTCACAGAAAGTGGAGATGGGTATGAAAAGGTGAAGGCAAGACATGGAGATGTGATATTTGAAAAGTTCAAGAAGAGAATTTCTCTCTGCCCTCAGCAGTGTATAAGGTATTTCATGAAATGTTACCCGAGGTTGTAAGGTTGTTTGGCAGTAATAAATATACTATTTTCCCCCTTTGTATTATTATTATTATTATTATTATTATTATTATTAATATTATTATTATTATTATCATTATTATTGTAATTGTTATTACAGTTGATACTTTTATCTGATAAGATGAACCATCTTGAAACAAAATGTTGATATTTCTCTCAGTATTATTATTTTTGTTATTTGAACTATAGCAAAGAGTAGCTACATTTTCTTTTGTCCATCTGATAAATTATGCTTTTATACATGACCGTCTTTCTATTTTTTTTTTTTTTCATTTTTAAAACATATGTATATATGCTTGGTAACCCATTGTGTGATATTAAATTTTATTATATTTAGGTACCAGTGGGCAGGGGAACCTCTCTACATCAGCCAGGCATTGGGCTCGTCTTGGAAGTGTCCTCCATGCCAGTCTTGTGGAAGCCCCCGCGTATTTGAATTGCAGCTGTTGCCAACTTTAGTCAATGTGCTTAGAATTGGAACAAATAAAGGTACCATTTTTTTTAAAGGAATGTAGCTGTAAGTTGAAAAATACTGTGAGTAAAAAAAAATGTCTTACCTGTATTCTTATACTTTTCTCAAAAGTCCAGTATAAAATTTACTTGAAAATTTTAATTAAATAGCCAATTTATCTAAAGCTTTTTAAATGGCAAATATTGATGATTGATGTCAGTTAATGACAATCAGACATTTTCAAAAGTTTCTTTCCTTTTACTCCGTTAATTGTAATGGCGGTAAGATGTGGAAGATTAAATCAACTCGGTTGTAATGTAAAAAATTAGGTTTGAAGAATTGACATGTTCCAAACTTCCAGCATAAGAGCAATGTTTTAGCTGACGCACCTAACACAATGAAATATCCTCACGTGAAGAGAACGGGAACTGCGCTCGTTTTAGAAAAACGGCAATTTTTGTTTAACAGACATATATTGTTTTATTGTTTTGAGTTGGTTGCATATTTGCAAGTTGATTTGTTATTATTTTAGTCAGTTTCTAAGAATATGTAGTACCTTAAATGTGATCATGTTGACTTAGTGTTTTGTAGCCCTAGAGGAAGGAGGAGAGCGAGGTGGGGGGACATGGATCTGCTTATGCTGGACAGTCTTGCTTGGTTTTATTCAAAACTCTCATCCATATTGGGATTTACGGCCCTTCAGAAACTTAAAGGTGCACTCTCACGAGATTTACCAGCCAAAAATGGATTTTCTCGGAAAAATACGCAATTTTCTCCTACTCAGCAACCATTTATTTATCCCTCTCTGCAATTAGCTCCGACCTTTTACAGTAAACTTTGTAAAGGTTGATTTGAACGTAAAATGACTGGCCAGTCATTATAACAGAAACCATTAACTTATAAGCTCCAATGGAAATATTAATTTTTAAGGTATATTTAAAGTCATAATAACTCTTCGTTTTGGCCAAAAATTGGATTTTCCTCGAGTAAACGGCAATTTTCCCGTACTTACCAATGGTCAACGACCCCATTCCTGCATTCAAAGTTAGTCCAGGGTTTTTTTCCTAAACGTCAGCCCTCTCTGACATTGCATAGTCACGCGATATCGAGCGATATTTTTGGTGACCTACCTAAAACCGCGGGAAAAGCAGACAACAACAAACACTTTATAACAGTTATATAAGATTCATAAGATATATTCGTCTTATTGCTCAAAATGCATTTTTATCTACAATGTGTGCAGTTCTTGGCTTTTCGTTTTCCGACGCACTGTACAAAAACTCGCAACTTACGTCTGAGGATTGCATCATGTGCCTCCTCTCATATGGCGCTTTATGTTATTTTGGTCTCGAATGAACTCTTTGTTAAATTTTACGATCCTCGGGGTGGAACATGATGCAACCCAGGGGCAATGCTTTTGGCACTGTGACACCCTAACGTCAATGGCAACGGATGCTTTGACGACCGATAAGAAAGGAATCGAAAGCCCTATTGACAAGCACAGAAACAAGAACAGACTTAAGTTTTACTACAATGACAGCCGTTTTAGTGGTAAAATACAATATAGTATATTTTCATGCGTTGTTTACAATGTATTTCTTGTGGAATTTGAATCTCAAAGGAAGAGTTATTATTGCTGTAAGGTTTTATAAGAAGCGGTGGGTGGTTAAAATAAGCACTTTGGAGTCAGAGGAGAATTCATCAGCTGTGTTAAGTTATAAGCATGATGTGATTTTTTTCTTCAGTGTACAGCTAATATTGAGATAGTTTTTACTTCCAATATTTCGATGTCTATCAGGTGAATAGCCTCTATTCAGGAGATATGCTTGCAGTGTTCTTTGAAAGCAACTTAGATCTACCAGTATTCATAAATGCCAATCAAATTACCGTCTCTCCTGTAATACATCATTATTTTCATTTTTTTTTTTCATTCAGAGACCTCTGTAGAGTTCGGGACTGTGCTGGTTTTCACGTGCAAGAAAGCGTGTTGGAGTAACAACGACGTGGCGGTACAGGAAGCAGTACATGTGCAAGCTGACCCCGATAGCGATTTGTTCAGACACTGACCGTAACACAGATAACAGCAGCGAATGCCTTTGGTCCCAATCAGAATACGGGACCAACTAGTCCGAGGGTCAAATATGGCCGACCCACTTGAATACTTACCAATGGGATATCCATTCAGTGTCTGTTAGCGGATTAGACGGCAAGCTTTGTTGTGAGTCGCCGTATTTGACCCTTGGACTAGTAAGTCCCCTATTTTGAATGGGGCCTGTGATGCTTTTTATCTACATATTTATTTAAGAAAGACAAACTCTGTACTAACGATATGACCTGTGTTACCTGTTGCACCCTGATGTTCATAATTCAGCTGCTCATGAAATAAAGTGCTCAACCCAGTTATCGTGGTTCGTTAAATTTTACGATCCTCGGGGTGGAACATGATGCACCCCAGGGGCAATGCCTTAGGCACTGTTGCCAAGGTAACAAGACCTTAGACGCTGTTGCCAAGGTGAAAACCTTGGTGATGCTTCGACCCTTCACTAGGGATACTGTGCTGTGCCGAAAGATTCCATAAAGTGTTCATCTTGACATTTTTGAAATGTTTCTTTTCAAAACAACAATCAGCTTCATCCTTCCGATACATTAAAACCTTTTCTCAGATTAAATTGGACCTTCGATAGCGTTGATTGAGTTTGTGTTGCGTTTATTTCCCTAGTCATCACAGTTAAGATTTTTTCCATAATAAGAGATACCGCAGTCGTATGAAACCAATAATAACCATATTTTTCGTTAGTGTGGCACGCTATTTACTTAGGTGCCTAAGAAGACTACTGCAGCTGATATGCCTTATTAATTTTTAATATTTGTTTTGTATTCAAACCTACAGGGGTTGGCTTTATCATACTTTGTAGTACTGCGTTGAATAATTTTTAATCTCCGTTTTTATGAAAGTACGTATTTACAGTAGCCATTAGCATTGGTCGTGATTGGAAATGGCTTTGTGATCTAAATGACTTCCTGTGGTGTCTCATGGAATTATCAGTAAGTGGATAAATTGAAAGTTATTGCCGACGCTTTGTTCAAAGGGAAATATGATGCGTTTTATTGATTACGCAACTCAACTGGGAAATCTTCAATCATCTAATAGGCATACACTCTCTGTTGTTTCACACAGAAAAAATAATAAAAGGGCATACGAACTTCTGTGAAAACGTGATGCGTATTAGATAGATGGATAGATCTTTATTTTTACCTCTGTCCAGAATAGGTAATTACATGAGGACTTGCTGCGTCTAAAAAAACGGAAATAGGCAATGTGCAGGAAGCAAGTGGACGTTACGGAATATCGACAAAGGAATTGGCGAGCACAAGAACAGCTAGTTTATCCTGGGAGCCAATGTTTGACAAGTTCTACACCCACTGTAGACTGTTTATGAGGTAAAAGATGAGCCTGCGGTTTGAAGTCGTCATGTTTTTTAAAATCATTATCGGAAAGTTCTGTCTATGAATATTTTAACAGATAATATGCGTCCCAAAAGGCGGTTAATTAGATAGGGATTAGCGATCGGGCATGTGGTATTTCCTATAGGTGGTTAGAACTCGTGCACACCCTACCCAGGAACAGGTGTGGCAGCGCCGATATTTTTCACTGATGTAAAAAAGTGAAAAAATAATAATTTTGTCTACCCAGATGCTGTTTACAGAGTTGTTGCTCGTCATAACCATCTTATCAAATGTATGTGGCCGACCTGCTATTGTTTTAAAACAGAATTTTATGTTTAAATTTTTTTTATAATTGATTTAACTGGCTGTTATCTTAACAATGTACTATCTATTTTAATATCTTAAAATTTTAACTATCCATATATTCATTGTACTGTACATTTCAATATCTTAATATCGTAACTGTTTATTTATTTATTGACTTTTATTCATCTTATTCTGTACCTCTTACCCATGTAAAGTCTACTGAACATTTTATGTGGATTTAAGACCATATTTATTATTATTATTATTATTATTATTATTATTATTACACTGCGTCTTAGCCATATTGTTCACGACATATTGTTTGTTAAGAAGCAACCAAGTCGTGCACCTCTAGTGAACGTATTTATAGTTTCATCAAAATGAACTTACATTAAATCTAAATGTTCATCTGTTGGGTATTTTAGGGCACTTGGCATAAATTCATTACAAAGGTTAAAGAGTGAAACAATCTTCAGAACTTCCAGTGCAGCAGGAAATGGGTATTAGAACAATCTTTCAGACATTAAACAACACGTGTCACTTTTCGAGAGATTAAAAGCAATTCTCCTATAGTTTCATATGTTTAGAGTCGGATAAACGCACAAAATATTTAGAGTCGGATGAATGTACGAAAATGTCGTTTACTGAAGCTTGAAATAGATTTTTTACGTCAAGAGGGAGTTCATCATTCTACAAATGCAAATACACCGCACATGCTTTCCTTTGAGACATGCTTCTATTTTGATATATAAACTCTATTTTCGATCTATCCACCGATTTCATGCTCCACTGGCAGCAAGCAAAGCATGTCAGAAGCGTTTAGTCAGCTAAAAGGAACCAGGAACTGCCTTCACGCTCCATTGGAAGACATCGGTATCATTTTCGAGACTTCACAAAATTTAGACATGGTAACCTAAATCCTAATGAAGAAAATGCTTTCTTCGCATCTCTCTTCACGTAGAGGTCTCTATATTGCCAGTAGACTTCAGGGGCGGATTGAGGCCTCCGGAAGTCTTCCGGAAGACGGTTAGATTTTCAAGTTTATATTGACGGGTATCTAATTTTTTCTGGCGAAAGACGGTCAAAAATGAAGGATGCATCATCATCATCATCATCATTTAGAGCCTATAGTGTTCCACTGTTGGACAAAGGCCTCAGCATGCTTTTTCCATTGTTTCCTATCCAGAGCTTCAGATTTCCAGTTTGGCCAAGGTTTCTTCTTCCAAGACTTCCAGTAGTCATCTAATTCATCCCTCCATCGTTTGACCGGCCTTCCTCTTTTTCTTTGTCCATACCTTGGGGTCCATTCTGTAAGCCTGATTGTCCACCTATTGTCCTTTATTCTTTTGACATGTCCTGCCCACCTCCATTTCATTTCTTTAACTGTGAGCAGTACGTCCTTAACTTTGGTCTGNTTCAGACACTGACCGTAACACAGATAACAGCAGCGAATGCCTTTGGTCCCAATCAGAATACGGGACCAACTAGTCCGAGGGTCAAATATGGCCGACCCACTTGAATACTTACCAATGGGATATCTATTCGGTGTCTGTTAGCGGATTAGACGGCAAGCTTTGTTGTGAGTCGCCGTATTTGACCCTTGGACTAGTTAGTCCCCTATTTTGAATGGGGCCTATGATGCTTTTTATCTACATATTTATTTATGAAAGACAAACTCTGTACTAACGATATGACCTGTGTTACCTGTTGCATCCTGATGTTCATAATTCAGCTGCTCATGAAATAAAGTGCTCAACCCAGTTATCGTGGTTCGTTAAATTTTACGATCCTCGGGGTGGAACATGATGCACCCCAGGGGCAATGCCTTAGGCACTGTTGCCAAGGTAACAAGACCTTAGACGCTGTTGCCAAGGTGAAAACCTTGGTGATGCTTCGACCCTTCACTAGGGATACTGTGCTATGCCGAAAGATTCCATAAAGTGTTCATCTTGACATTTTTGAAATGTTTCTTTTCAAAACAACAATCAGCTTCATCCTTCCGATACATTAAAACCTTTTCTCAGATTAAATTGGACCTTCGATTGCATTGATTGAGTTTGTGTTGCGTTTATTACTTGTCATTACAGTTAAGATTTTTTTTTCAATTAAAAGAGATACCGCAGTCGTATGAACCCAATGATAACCATATTTTTCGTTAGTGTGGCACGCTATTTACTAAGAAGACTACTGCAGCTGGTATATTAATTTGTAGTATTTGTTTTGTAATCAAACCTGCAGGGCGTGGCTTTATCATACTTTGTACTACTGCGCTGAATAATTCTTAATCTCCGTTTTTATGGAAGTATTTATTTACAGTAGCCATTAGCATTTGTCGTGATTGGAAATGGCTTTGTGATCTATTTGACTTCCTATTGTGTCGCATGGAATTATCAGTAAGTGGATAAATTGAAAGTTATTGCCGACGCTTTGTTCAAAGGGAAATATGATGCGTTTTATTGATTACGCAACTCAACTGGGAAATTTTCAGTCATCTAATAGGCATACACTCTGTGTTGTTTCACACAGAAAAAAAATAATAAAAGGGCATACGAACTTCTGTGAAAACGTGGCGCGTATTAGATAGATAGATAGATCTTTACTTTGACCTCTGAGCAGAATTGGTAATTACATGGGGGTCTTGTTGCGTCTAAAGAGACGGAAATAGGCAATGTGCAGGAAGTAAATGGACGTTACGAACTATCGACACAGGAATTGGCGAGCATAAGAACAGCTAGTTTATCTTGGGAACCAATGTTTGACAAGTTCTACACCCTCTGTAGACTGTTTATGAGGTAAAGGATGAGCCTGCGGTTTGAAGTCGTCATGTTTTTTAAAATCATTATCGGAAAGTTCTGTCTATGAATATTTTAACAGATAATATGCGTCCCAAAAGGCGGTTAATTAGATAGGGATTAGCGATCGGGCATGTGGTATTTCCTATAGGTGGTTAGAACTCGTGCACACCCTACGCAGGAACAGATGTGACAGCGCCGATATTTTTCACTTGTGTAAAAAAGTGAAAAAATAATAATTTTGTCTACCCAGATGCTGTTTACAGAGTTGTTGCTCGTTATAACCATCTTATCAAATGTATGTGGCCGAGCAGCTATTGTTTTAAAACAGAATTTTATGTTTAAATTTTTTTAATAATTGATTTAACTGGCTGTTATCTTAACAATGTACTATCTATTTTAGTATCTTAAAATTTTAACTATCCATATATTCATTGTACTATACATTTCAATATCTTAATGTCGTAACTGTTTATTTATTTATTGACTTTTATTCATCTGATTCTGTACCTTTTACCCATGTAAAGTCTACTGAACATTTAATATGGATTTTAAACCATAAAAATTATTATTATTATTATTATTATTATTATTATTATTATTATTATTATTATTACACTGCGTCTTAGCC